AGAAATTAGCCCTGAATATCTTACTGCTAGGCTTTAGGGAGCTCTCCGGCACCAGGTTTAACGAACTTCACTTTGAAAGGTATAGGCGACAATGATTCTGCTCGAATTAATATACTTCTTTTGGGAAGTGGAGGATTTAATGTTGCTAGATACACTAAAAGTGGCACCTAGTAATAATAACCAAATATAAAAAATTTACTTTGAATCATAAACGGCTGTGCTAAGTCATGTAGCTGATAAGCCTCGTGTGCTTACGGAGGCCTTACATTCCTTACTGCATTTACCATCAGATTACGATCTCTTTTAGACTGTTTGCATCGATTCTCATGATTTTTCTAGGGTTACTAAAGAAACGTTAATCAAAAACAGCATTTTTCAATACGACCCTAATGAAGAAGAATCTGAACTTGATGAAGAATCAACACTTAACGTGAGTGCGTAATTCTAATTTGATTCGTTGGTATGCGTCCTATCGTCAACAGTAATCTAGTTTTCCTTTTTAGACGTCAACCTGTGGAAAAATATTAATTAAATGTCTATGGCGTAATACCGATGTACGTTGCGAAGATTACTTTGATGTTATCACAGTAAATGCAGACATATGTTGCACTTTTAACATGATACCCTTAATCCATACAATAAGACATTCGTAAGTATTTCTGTTTATAATGGCGATCTACATGAAGATTGTAACGGGTAGTTACAAACTTTACTGTTTATACTTGCCCTTCAAACCTTTTTGCCGATGGCTAGCTCAAGATTATTAATTTTGATTGCAATTACCTTAGAGAAAAGTGAACCTGTGATTTTCAATCTGAAAATGAAAAAGTGACGCGCTCCTGCTTGAGCTAACTTGAAAGCAAACAACGAAGATAAACTTGAAATATCAAATACCACCGACATATGTGGCACAGTGGCGTGGAAGCGCGACTTCAGAGGTCTTTGGTTCGAATCCGGGTTAGGGCATGGATAATTGCAAATGTATGGTCGGTTGGGTTGGTAGAGCAGACTTGGCTAAAACTACGGCCACTTAAAAATAAAGTCCAAAAATAAATGAATAAATGAATGTGATTATCTCATCTATCGGAGGGGGCCAATTTTAATGAAATAATAGTTCTTACAACTTTGTAGCAATGAGACACGACGCGACGTATCCACTAACTTCCATACAATAGTAGAATCTTCATTCATACCTAGATGATACATTTCTCAAGACCTCATATATTCTAAAATTAATATTCGGTACTTTTAGGAATACTTCAGAATCGTATTCGTCACTCAAGTTATATAACGAGCTCCACGTTAGCTATTGGAATCCCGACGATGGATACTCTGACGAAGCTCCGCTTGATGTAATTCCGTTTCGTTCCAAAGGTAATATAAGCATATAAGAATGTCTACATTTCAGTTAGTATGCCTGTATTTTCTAAAAATTCCAACGTCCAACGTGGGAAAAGAACCACAAATTCCCAAATCTGCTATTACTTATCAATTATCGCTACAGAAAATGACACTTTTACTCATATCTAACCTTGTATCTTTAATTTAAGGTCCTGGTCTAGCGCAGGGTCTATCAATTATTTTGGATGTGGGGGCTGCCGATACTTCCAATGGATATAGTGATGGTGTAATGGTAATAAAAGGGTAATAGGAGCGTTTGTGATAGAAGTTGTAATCAACTATTACAGATGCTTTTACATAATCCATCACAATTACCAAGCATGGAGGAGCATGGGTTTCTTTTACCATTTGGTTTCGAATCGAGTGTGATTTACAAACCCGTAATTCACGATGCGTCACCGTCGTTTCGGGAGCTACATCTGAGGGATCGGATGTGCTACTTTAGCAAAGAAAGATATTTAAAGTTCTTCAAGTAAGTCGTGGCTGTCTGCACCAAGTTACTGGTATCTCTTTTCCACCACTGAGTTTACCAAAATGGTACCTCACCTGTGCCGCGATTGAAAAACTGAAAAATTCTAAAACGTGTTTTCAAAAGGATTGTTCCAAAAATGTTTGGAAAGAGGTGGCCTTAATACCTTATGTTTATTTTCAACAAACCCAAATTGCATGTTAAAAATTATGTCGTTTTTCCCTTTATGTAGTATATAATTATTCATAGGTGAATAATAATAGGCATTGAAGAGTACAGACCCATTTTGATTCTATTTTTCAGGATATATTCCTACACCAACTGTAGATTGGATTGTATAGCTAACCAAACTCTGCAAGACTGCGGTTGTCTCCTATTCTCTGCCAGTGAGTTTATAAGTATTTAGGTATGGATTATCTCTAGTGAGCATTTCATTTTAGAAGAGCTCTACACACCCGCTTGTAATGCTACTTATCAGCCCTGTAGCTCAAATGTAACAGGTAAATTTATTGAGACCTTTTTACAAGAAAGATAATTTGCGCAACTGTAATTTCAGTAAACGTAAAGAGTATATTCTGACAGCAATAAATAATTCCACTAATTCAAGGAATAGAACCTTCAACCAGTTAAAAGTTAATTGACATTTTACACGTTACCGTAATATCTTATCGTATTTCTTTGGTTACACCAAAATACTAAACGCACGCTATCTATTTTATCCGTATTAGTTGGGATTAGTCTCCAGAGACGTCTTCGGAGTTGAAAATTCCCCTAGGGCAAGGTTTGCGTATTTTGGTATGCGAAGTTCTTAATTACGGGAAATGTAAAAATTATTTAAATTTTCATGACGATTTCATTAAATGGTTATTAACATAAAAATCAAGAAAATGACGCATTACTAGTAGTGACATTTTACCGACAGGATTTGTACCACGTTTTTCCCTAAATCGTCTTTTTTAATATGAAATTCAAATTTTTATATGAAAGTTTTTACAATTGTTTTTGGTCATTTGTCTTATCATTCTAAAACGCGAGTTCATCCCTTCCTCTTTTAGTGCGCTCTCTTCAGTTGACAACGTTACAAATACAACTTTCCTCTGTTCTACCCTCCATCCGCAGATAAATATATCCCCAACTCAAACAAATCACACAAAACAGTACCTATTAAAAAACTTACTAATCCTTTCTTGTTGACGATAAGTCCTGAAATAATTCCTTTTTAAAACACAGTCCGTAGCACAAAATCCCCTATCCCTTCGATATTGGGTGCCAAAATTGCTCTTTTGGGTGCCCAGTACGGCCCACACAAAAACCTCGTTTTTTATGACGAGCATATTCCAGAAATTAACACTCAAATCAACTTAAACAACATGTTATCAATTGTTATCTTAGCGAACACGTTAATTTTATCACACCTTTTCAGCTGTGTAAAACGGATAAAAATTAACAAAAGAACACAGCGGCTCAATTTGGCCTACAACACGAAACCGTCGGCGGAGTGGCCTGTCTTTCTAAACTAAAGTTTAAGGAAAATTGTTACACACAACTAAAATTATGCGTGCTATTGAAATAGTCAAACAAATTCTGATTGCGACGAAATTTGGTATCTAGGGGTTTTTGAACATGAAAATTCCGAATCTGAAATTATTTTTTCTTGGTAGGACGACGAAAATGGAGAGAATTTCATGAAATTTAATGTATACATACTTGTTGACTTTGAGTTAGTGAACAAAATTGTCGGACAGTTTTTTTAAATCACTTTTTATAGAAGTTATACTCATTTGAAAAGTGGTCCTTCAGGTCAAAAAGTATCCCCCGCCTACTAGTGAGTCATCTATTTTCGCATGTAGTTAGTTGAAAATGTCCCAAACAAAAATTTAACGATTTTAAGTCGATATTACGATTGAATCATATTAGAAAAATCGATATGTCGATCAGGTTTAAGGCTCGGACTCTAACCTCACAAGTTGTAAGTTCGAATCCCACAACTTGCCAGTTTTTATTGGTACAGAACATCTCCTGACTACCATGCTTCCGAGGGCATATAAAGCTAGCGGTTCCGGCAGTCATACCACGTCTGTCGTTAAGTCACACAGACGTCTGTTGATGCGACCTGAAAACGTCTGTACCTAGGGAGTGCCACCCATAGATACGATACGGTTCCAAGAAGTTGTAGATTGTGAGTAGCTGCGAGTGGTGGGAAAATGTTATTTAAGTGGAGTTCCACTACAATAAATAAAAATTATTCCAAGTATCACAATATCCACTTAAATTTTTAATTTTTTGTTATATACGACATTTTCAACTAACTACATTTAAAATACCTACTAGAAGGGGGAGGGGACACTTTCTGGGTAAGGACCAATCTTCAAATCTTCAAACTTTTGTTTGAAAAGTGATTTTTTAAAAACTGTTCGACAATATTGCATCAACTATTTAATTATTTCGTGGAATTCTCTCCATTTTCGTTGTCTGGTCAAAAATTGCAGTGTAATTTTTTTTTCGAATTTTCAAAAAGTACTTTCAGGTTCGTGATTTTCATGTTCAAAGACCCCCAGATACCAAATTTCGTCGAAACGAGAATTTATGTTCACACCCCCATTTAGGCGCTCGCGCTTTCGGATTGTTTTGATCCTCTCTACCACTCAATTTTTTTAATGAAATTTGATACGTAAGCACTTGCAATAAAAGCAAGTCTAGCGCCAGTTTGAAAATTTGGTTTTGCGCATGCGCAGTGTCAACTTTCTTATTTATGAATTTTCTTATTTATTTATTTTAACGTCATAATAAATCTTGTTCATTATATTATGTAATTGTGTGTTTGTTTTCAACACCTTCCGATCGTTGCGAGATCTGTGAATTTTTGCTTCAATGTATTTCCTCAGAAGTGTTGTAATATCTTGGTCTGCGAGAGCAATTGAAGTTTATAGGTTTATTTAAATTTATAACTACGTGTCTATGTTTTAGAATTTATGAACCGCAAAATGCAGGACGAGTAAGAGATATTTTTAAAATAGATTGATCACTGCACGTTACTTGTAGGGACCCTTGCAATTGCAAGCCTGCGTGTTGTCAATTGGATTATGAAAAGGAGATTTCGTATGGACAAATAACTGATAAATATGAAAATAGATTTTTGGAAAATAAAACTATGGATTATATCAGGTAGGATTATTAGATATAATACCTCAGTTGACAATTAACCAACTTTAAGTACATATTAGTATAGGTATAATTAAAAATTTTAATGTTATTTTTAGAGAAAATATACTTGTGGCGCACATTTATTACGAAATATCAGAATTCTCCAGATTTACGAAGAATGAACTGCATGCAACCTCTGATCTGATCGGTAATGAGACATGTCAATTTCCCACACTGCATTGTTTTGCATTGCAGCCAGTGTAGGAGGTCTCTTGGGCCTTTTTCTGGGATTCAGTGTCTTCAGTATTGTTGAAATAGTCTACCATTTGTCTATGAAACTCATTTGCAATAGCATACGCGCCAAAAAGCAATTACAGGCCGAAATGAGTGTGGTCGTTGCAAAACCCAAATTGACAAACTGAGCGAATCTCACATATGTTTACCTTACAGCTCACATGGACCTGCGAGTATCTGCTTGTATCACATAATTTGTGATGTATGTATGGAGTCCGCCTGTGGAGCACCCCATAGTATATGCTTTCCAACCATAATCCTCGTTCGCTAAAAAAAACTTTTTGGCTTTTATGAAATTTAATAATTCTACTTATTATATTATGTGTAATAATACTGTATAAAGTTAACTTAGCGTTTGTTTTGAGGAATCCGAGTTCATCTATGTGTGTTTTTCGTTTTCGTTTTGTTATAAACTATTGTATTACGTGATGCATTTATTTACAATTAAATAATAATGAATTTATAACAGTCCTGAAATATATTAATTTATAACAGATAATTATTACTCACTTGTACTCAAATTTATAATACGTAGGTTTATGATAACCTAGCGCGGAATCACTTATAATCATCAATTCGCCGTCTATGTTGGAAGGTTTAAATGATGATGTGTTTTCATGAGCTACACAAAAAAGTATCATTCACTTTTGGCATCAGGTTCCAAATAAAGACGCCACTCCCAGCTTTAAACCACGGGATGTCGCTGGCGGGCATGACGAGTTCTACTTGGCTATGTATCAGCAGCGTACTTTACTCAACAAATCAGCCGTGTAACGATAAAGGTCGATTCGCATTTTACGAAACGTCAACGTCACGTCACGGACCGGCAACGTCACGTCAAAATATTGTATTATAGATTTCTTAGGATAACATTTACATATAGACGTAACGGAACGCACCGTCAACGTTATGAACCGTCGAGAAGTTTCAAACATTTCTTTGACGTGGCGCTAATGCTAATATTCGTCTATTTAATCATGATAAAAACAGATAGTCTAGAATAAAAAATCCAATCGCAACCATCCTAAGAAACTATTGACGTAAATTGTGAATTGGCAGCAAGATTTACATGACGTTGCCGGTCCGTGACGTGACGTTGACGTTCCGTAAAATGCGAATCGACATTTTTCTGTAGCCAGCTCTTGACTATAACAAGATTTGCCCAAATACGAGTTGAAGAACGAAGTTTCGACTTTATCACGTTTTCTGAGAGATTTCGATGACATAGAGCGAGCGTCGAATTCTGTGAAAGGTGCACGGTGGCCGTGTCGTCTTTTTGGTGCCGTTTGATGTGGCCAGGTGGCGGCGCGGCGGAGTGAAGTTCAGCAAAGCTTTTCAACACGAATATGACCCGTGTTGCCTTTGATGCACCTGCCGAATGGCCTCCTGGTGATTTTCAGTCATGTGTGGAGGTTCCTGTATTCGCGTTCGCCACTCTCCCGGTCTGGTCCGGCTTCGTTTTTTCTGGTCCGGAGGTTGAATAGGACGAGAGGTAGTATGCGCGCCCATGCGTCGGGAGTTTTTCCGATGAGGTGCACGCGCAACCCCTTTTTCACCTCTTGGTTTCTCCATGTGACCGGAGGTAAACTGCGTGCGATTGTAGGAGACGATAGACTTTGGAAATCCTCACTTCGCGAAAACTTCGTGTTTTAATAATAATATGTTGGCGTCGGTGACGTGGGTGGCTGTGGCTTGTCGCAATGGGAAGACTTTCACCCACATACTGAACAGATCCGTGACCATACCAATATCCGAAGTAACCCGGTGGGTGTGGTAGTGTACGGTACCATTATGTCCACCAACATGGACTCTCAGAAAAGGGTCGGCTAGCTGGGTCGCGTCCTAGACTAGGCCCTCTTCACGGCGGTGCATATCCAGCAATTGGGAATGTAGTCGCACGCCCGAGTGTCCAACTTCCAACAAAGTAAGTAATATGTGTGAGAGATGGCCATGCCAGCTTCGATTCCGGGGTGTCCGGCGGTGGGAGCGTCATGGTACGCGTAGAAGACGTCCTCATCGCTCTTATTGGGGACAACGAACAGGCAAACATGAGAACTGAGAGTACCCCTAGTGGACGGTGTACTCTAACAGGAACGTCCTTTGGCCTTCGTTGGTCGGCCCTTCGTCGTGCCTCCGCTGCCACGCTCGGATCGCCTGTTGAGCGTCGGGGTTGGTCCTCTGGTCCACCCACATGCGTTCGCTGAGTTTGACCATCTCGTCGTGATTGATGATAGGGCGTTTGTTTTGTGCGAGCAGTACCAAATGTTCCTCGTCGTCGTAGATAGCGATGGTGGAGTCGTTCCGACTACGGGAAAGGTGATTCGCCAGTTGGTTGTGCTTCCCAAAACAATGCTGAGGATCGTAATTAAACTCTGGACTCCAGTCGTCTTTGCTTGGATCCAGCCATAGAAACGCCTGTCCTTGCATAGCGTGAAACGTAGTCGGTCGTATAGGTATGGCGTGTACATACCTTCTTACTGTCCAAACGACGCCGACGGCTAAGCGCCTGTATTTCGGCACAGCGGGGTATGCAGTCACTGAGCCAGTTGCTCAGTCACAAGAGGAGCTGCTTGCGTGTTGCAGGTCTGGGAGCGCCGCAGACAGTTTCTACGTGTTCCGGCAGTGACCGATTGGATAATTGACGTTGCGAGGTCATAGGTCACCAGGAAGGTTCCCTGTTGCTTGGAATTGAAGTTGGGTGTTGCAAAGGATGTCGAAGGTCTTGCCGGCGGCGGATAGGTATGCTGTCGTAGACTTGCTAGCTTCGTGGATGTAGTCGACAAAATTATGAGAGGGCCCAGTGTGTAACAGGGCGAGGCGATGGCGGCCTAGCTCTATGGCTATATTTGGCAGCTCGACTTGTGGTGGCTCGTGTGTCTGGTCGGGGAAGACGTAGTGGTCCTTGGACCACCGGGCAGTCCCGATGAATGTGACGGTAATGGCAAGCTTGCCTCCTGGAAGAGCTAGCGCCTGGCGGTTTGGCGTTTTTTTCGATAACCTCCAAGAACTTCAGTATCTCATCTCAATCACATTCCGGAGAGGTCTTAAACGTATGAAGGATCGCACCGTGAGGTGCAGTCGGCCCGCGGCAAGTGGTATGTGCTCGTTGATGTGCAGCGAGCTGGGCCTTCCGCTGGAGAAAGGGCAGCCGGATTCGTTCTTCTGATCGTCGTTGTAGATCCCTGCGTTCAGCCTGGATTTGATGGTCGTGCATTGTCGCACTTCGGAGTACGTCATTGGGAGGTGGGGGTGGGGGGCTGATCAGGCATTATTCATTAAAAAAACGCAACGTGTTGCGGAGGATAATAGAAAGTTGTCAATTATAAAGGTGATGTCAGCTGTCATCATAACGAATCTCCTTTTCTTACTGTCACTTCGAGACCACCTCTCTCCCAATAATGTTGCTCAAAATAGAGCTCAAAATTAATGAAAACGAAACACAACTTAAGGGCTGTTGATTATGTAGCAGGTTTTTTGAACTGAAAAGATCTGAGCTGGAGAATTTGCCTTACAAAGTTGGAAAATTCCTTCACTAATTACTAACGAAACAAATTCCTTAATGTTTTCTAATTCAACGGTGCCAGAAAATAGAACATCGCATGCCATGAACTTCATACGATATAGTAATTAAACCCTAACCCTTATTAGGAAAAATAGACAAATGGATTCAATAAATCCGTTGTGGGCATAATAAATTAGATAATACTAATTAACAATAAGTCCATTATGGTATTAGATTTACTTAAATTCATATATATCCTTCTAATTAAATTGAGTTGTAATTAAAGGTCCGATTCTGACAAATTGTTTGTATTCGTGCGTCTGCTTAAGTTGGCAGTTCACAAAATGACTAGAAGCTTCTTCAGAAGAAGAAGATATGGTTTGTCGTCAAAATTCGTTAACGTACAACATGGCACTGCATTTAATTTCAAGGAGATGTTATCCTCTATGTCCAACAAGTAAGTATTGAGCTTTTGAAAGTTTTAATAGAGCACGGATGTCCGAATGTAGTAGCAAAAAATTCTCTAATAAAAAATTGGACTGTAACATTCGTAGGCGTAGGACAATTTATTTTCCCACATAATGCACCTTTAACTTATACACACCTACCGTTTCGACAATAGACAGAAACTCTTCAAGATAGTCACAAACAGCAACGTTCAGGTCGTTTGGCCTCGTAAGTAGGGGAAAGATAGTAGTGCTAAATCCGAAGTAGGACGCATTAATGCCGGCGCATTAAGCGATAACTTGTACAACTTTTTGAGCCTTGTGCACCATTCAATCATTTTGCAGCAAAATAGTCTTATCAGCAAAGTTCTGAACTATATTATCTCGAATCTCAGATTTAAAATTGTTAATAGCCTCTTGATAGACATATCCGTCAATTGCTGTGCCCTTTTTCATGCACTGACTCAACAGGATCCCGTCAAAATCCCAGAAATCCGTTGTCATCCATTTTCAAACTGCATTTTCGCTTATTTTGGTGGTGGGAATCTTTTATGCACAAACGGCCTCTGATACGTGCACTTATAGTTACAGCTACTTACAATTATTGTAATTTAAAAAAATCTAAAAATCTAATCCCAGAGCTTTTCTCGTTAATCCGACCCCGCGTTGGGCGCCAATTGTAACGGTAGTTATTAAATCAGGACTGAAACGTCGGCTGTACCACTTTCTTGGAAACTGTAATACAACAAACAAAATCAATCTAGCTGATTTTTTCAAAGGTAATGGGTGAAAACGAAATGTTAGACTTTTTGGGAGGTTATCCTACTACCAATGTAAAAAAAAAGTTAAAAACGGCCTATTTTAGATATTTTTCGTGGCGTAGTGAAATAGGTATTTGTTTCATTAGTACAAAAAATGTCAGTTTTCGGGACGAGGAAGATAGTTGCTGGACGACGCGTTAGCGGAGTCCAGCAACCTTCCGAGTCCCGAAAACGCATTTTTTTGTACGAATAAAACATAAAATTTTTTCTCCAACCCCCTTTACTTCAAATTATATTCGAATTTAGATTCAGCCACAGTTTCACTACTAGTATAAGAACTTCTGCTTTCTTGTCCTCACGTGTCATGCCACTCTAGTTTTTAGGTAATTTATAACCCATTCGTTCTTACTTCTTACTTCTCACCTCTCGCGACTTTGTAGGGAGCAAATCTTGAGGTAGCATGTTCTGCCGTTTCTATAATCTCTGGCGGAGTGCAATCCATGTCGCTATCAGTTTCGGTCATTTTATTGTATACAC